GATCTGTTACTCTTAGGAAGTTTGATTTTATACAAATGTTTTTAAGTTCAGAAGACATGAGTCTTCTGATACCATCAGCCAAAGGGAAAGGACACTGAATGACAGCTGGTTGCCAAATGAGCAGGAAATAACACATGGTATAATTATCAATGCCTATAGATTCAAAGTTAAACATTTGTGAAACCCAGGTATACTAAATTAAAGTGTCAAATCCTCAGTTAATCAGGTCAGGGTTATCAGGAGCATAACTTCTGGCCTTTGATAACACACAGGTGTTATCACTGCATTCACTGCACCCAGATGAGAGGAACCCCAACATGAGCCAGTTCATGCTGATATTGTTCACCTTCACCCCTCAGAGCACAGACTCCTTCTGTTTCCATACAGATGGGATAACCCTTTGGTCAGGGCATCCCTTTGGATCACAGCATTTGGGGAAAAAACTGCCAAAGTCATCTTCCAAAAGGTATACCTCAATCAGGGGCAGGCGGAAGGAAGGGCACTGGTGTGAGCTGCTAAAGCACCCATTCAGCAGTTCATACAGCCAGAGATGTCTTCACATAAAGATCTCATTTATGCTCACATCTTTATATTAATTCTGCATTAAATGCTGACTCAATCAGACCTTGTTTTCACCACCTAAGAATGGCCTAAGAGACTTTTAATAATGACCAAACCAACTCTCTCACACCATCAGAACTCCGTGGGCAACAGAAAAAAATAAAACCAGAGCAGCAATGTCATTCCACTCATTTGAAGACACTGACACTTCACAGAATCATAGAATGGCTTAACAGAAGGGACCTTGAAGGCCACCTCATTCCAACTCCCCTGCCACAGGCAGGAACACCTGCCACAAGACCAGGCTGCTCAGGGGCCCATCCAACCTGGACTCGAACACTTCCAGGAGTGGAGCAGCCACTTCCTTCTGCTGTAAGGTGGACAAATATTGCTTTAACCAGAACACTCTTGATTTTTAATGACCCTCACCTTCCATAGTTGAGGCATCCCACTGCTCCCCCCTTTTCATTGGGGCACTACCAGTGAAACACCTCCAAGTGCTACGGAAGAGGCAAGATGTGCCAAAGCAGTAAATCAAAGCACAGCTAACACAAGCTCATGCTCAGTTTCTCACAGGTCTCATGCAGTAATAACGTTATACCTGTAGTGTTCTAATGATATTAAATTATGCAAAGTTAGAGTTTACTCCAAATGACATCAGCTGGTGTAAGAAAAAAAGAGACCAGACAAGCTTCTGGGGCATATATTCCAGACTTCAATTATTCAAAACTCCTTGCTGCATCATAATAAAATACAGTAACTATGGAAAACAAAACAATTAATATGAGAATGAAACCACTAACAGCATTGAATCAGACACTCTAACAATTCAGCTGAGCAGTCTCAGAGATGCAGAGTGGAACACTTAACTCGAGGTGGACACAACAGTTCCCTGCATGACTGACTTGCTTTCACCCCAAAAGGCAGCCCTGGAGCACTTGTATCTGCACAAGCAGCACCAGACATCATGCCCAGTTAAGCTCACTGCCAGCCCCAAGACAGCACACCTGCAAACCAGTACTGAGGGTTTAATGAAAATCAGGCTTCTCAACACAGTCCTGAAGAATCTCCACGAGCAGCTCTGGCAACAACTCAACTCCAAGCTCAACTCCTCACATAATTCCAGTGAAACATCACCCATTTAAGAACAAAACACATGACAAGCAATATGCATTTACCTTTTGTTTGGGGGCTGTTGGAGTCTTCCATAGACAGTTTGAGCTGCTGGATGAACTCGCTGCCATACACACTCCTCTCCTGCCAGATGTTCAGCAATCGTTCCAAGGGTTTCTTGCAACCCTCGTCTGCTTCTCTGTTCAAAGATTGGGAAATCATTACAGTTCAGCTGATCAACACTCCTTATGTTTTCAGAGAGCATCTTCCAAACTGCCAACTGCACCCATTGCAATATGTGAACATTTGGAGAGAATCTTGCTCATATTGTCTGAGACAAACTGTGCAAAACACACTTGCGGCAAATTTTCCCCTTTATTTGACCTAAAGATTGCCTGGAAGTCTTCCACTATTCCCACCTCAAAGTAAGGGCAGAAAAGTTGTGAAAGAAGAAACTTGCTATCATTCAGAATTAGCAGTAAGAGTTTATAAAAAACCCAGAAGCTGACAAGCTTACAACTCTGAGTATTAACTTTAAACAGCTGTTTCAGCCAATAACATCCCAATTAAAAGCAGGTTAATTGGATCATTAGGCACTTAAATGCACTCAGAGTGTGCTCTGACAGTCAGACAGCCCTCCAGAAAAGACAAATACTCAGAGCATTAATGTTGTTTAGCTGAGGTAACAGGACTCATAATGTAATTTAGAAACAATCTTAACTAAACAATAGTGCATTTGAGTAAGGTGATGGCTGCATCACTTCTTCCCTTTTAACTATGAAATTCTTCCTTCCTCCAGCAAGGATATTACCGATGAGGTAGTACACAAAGAAACTGCTCAGAGCAGGAGGCTGGTGAGAACCCAGTGACCCAAAACATCAGCTCTTTTAAAGTCTTTTAACAATGGGGCAGAGCCATTCATTATGTGGCTTTAATAAACACACCCAACTGCTTAATTCCACTGCCCATAAACAGATCTGCCAGATCTTTATGTGACAATTGAAATAAAGTCCATAGGAGCTGCGCATTGAGCAAACATGTGAAGCTGTGAAGGAGTGGTCCATACACAAAGTTACCCATTTTCACTAAACAGTCCCCAACCACAGAAGAGTCAGGATCTAACCTCTACTACAGAGAGAGTACAAGCACCCCCTAGACTTAAAAAGACAACAAAATCCAATTGAATTAAGCTTTGAATAACAAGAATGCAAATCTCTAGGGAGGAAAGCTGAGGAAATACAGCAACATACCTGGCAACATGAGAAAATGCATCCACGAGAACAGATTCAAATTCCCTGGTAAATTCAGGGCCTTTCCTCTTACTGTTCTGGATGACATCGTTTGCTAAATATAGGAAAGTAAGCTTCCTACTCGACTTTGCTGAGAAAGGAAAAAAAATAAAAAAGGAAAAAACAAAAGGAGAGTTTGCATTTATTTCTCATTTCTTTCACCTGGAATCATTAACAGCACTTTCCAAGTTGTTCATAGCTTTGCAGTCTAAAACCAAAGTTCAAAACATTTCCATGTTACCAAAGGAAATCAGGGGCTTTCAAGTCAAGTAGTTCTCAATGTCCTCACTTCTGCTCTTTTCTAATTAACTCATAAAACAAACATGAGTTTAGTGCTTTTTGTGCAGTGACAACTCAACAATGAAAAACCAATAAATTTTAAACACAATTTTTAAATTGTTCTAACCCATCAGCAATAAGCCATAGATAATATTATTACAAATTAATAAACCAAATAGTTTATTTTTTATTAATTAACTTCAGGAAAAATACTTGACTAAAACAGTGTAACTCAGAATGAAGGGAACTGTAGGAGAAAGATATTGTGGAGACGCAGAAATTTTCCAAACAATACTCCTAACATCAAATTTCTTCAATATACCCTAACTTTTCCTATTTTGACACCACCTATTCTATACCAATATGGCCAGAATTAGGGAAAATTAGAAATAGGGAAATTCACTGTTCCCCAAAGCAAAACAACCACGAACACACAGAAGGCAGAAAACAAAGGTGCTCATTTCCACAACAGGGCAAAGGCAGATCTTCCAAAAACTCATCAATAAACTACAAATGGCAAAAACCAGCAATCACCTAGAAGATACCCCAGCTGCTACAAGGGGCTCACAGTGCTGGTGACCACAGGGGAATGGTGACACTGGCTGCAGCTGGGGACAGGGCATCATCCACAAAGAACCCCAAAATAGTCTGGGTTGGAAGGGACCTTAAAGGCCACTTCGTTCCTGCCCCAGCAGGAACACCTTCCACCAGGCACTGGCAGTCTCCCTTGACTTCAGAATGCTAATCTGCAAGAAAAACACGCACAAAATGCTTCTGGCTGATAGCACAAAAGAGTTTTACAGACTTCCTACTTTTTCTACGCTTATCTGCACTCACTAGTTCTATAGTGGGTGAGCTGTACGAATCCAAACCCAAAATTTAAAAACGGAGCCAAATAGGCAGAGTACGTTCAAGTTTGCCTGAGCACAGTCAGGGGAACATAATTCGCACATCTCTTGTTTTACACCCAAGGAGCTGAGCATCCCCTGCCTCTCAACCCCCGCTTGGCTGTGCCTTCCCAAAGCCGCCGCCGGTACCGCCGGAACGCTCCGCTCACACGTGGCATTCCCCCCGGATTTATAAACAACACCACAGCGGCCAAGTGCCGCGAACTCCCGGCACACCGACTCCTCCCGGGCCGGCCCGCGGAGCTGCGCCAGCACAACCGGCCGCGCTCACCGGCAGCTCCGCGGCCGGCCCCGGTACCGCGGGGCAGGGGCTGCCAGAGCGGCCCCCGCCGCACAAACCCCACCGCGCACCTTTGCGGAGCTCCCGGTGCCACACGGCGACGATGGGCCCCGCGTGCTTGCGGTGGTGGATGAGCCACAGCGAGAGCGTCTGCACGCTCTGCTGGGAGTTGCTCAGCTCCGACAGCTTCTTCTCCAGCGCCGACTCCGAGAAGGAGGACATGGGGCCGGAGCTGCTCCGCCCGCGGGGGGGGCGCGGCGCGGCCTCACCGACAACAACCCGCCGGGGCCGCCGCCACAAGATGGCCGCCCGCGCCCTGACCCCGCCGCGGGGCGAGGGGCGGCATCGTACGGAGCGCCGGAGGGAGCCAGGCCGCGCGGCGGGCGGGCTCGGCGCATGCGCGACCATGCTCTGCGCCTGCGCACTGCGAGCACTCGCGATTTATCTCACAGCGCCCGCCCAGGCCCGCGGGAGCTTTGTGGCGCTGACAGCCGCGTTACCTCAGCGGCACGCCGCCGGCGCATGCGCGTGCCGGGCATCCGAGACTTTTCTCACGGTGCCCGCCCCGCTTGGCGGGAGCTTTGTGTCACTTCCGGCACCCTCAGGGCTGCGCGGCCCGGGTGGGACCCCCGGCACCGGGCAGCGCCCGCGGCCCCGGTCCCGCGGCATGGCCGTGTTCGACACCCCGCAGGCGGCGTTCGGGGCGCTGCGCCCCGTCTGCGTGCAGCTGACGCGGGCGCAGACGGTGGAGAACGTGGAGCAGCTGCAGGCGCACCTGGCCGGGGTGAGCGGCGCGGCCCTGCAGGAGCTGCAGGAGTACGTGCTGTTCCCGCTGCGCCTCGCCCTGCGGGTGCCGGGGCCCAAGCAGGAGCGGCTGGTGCAGAGCCTGGTGCAGTGCATCTCCTCCGTGCTTGCGGCGACGTGCGTGAAGAAGCAGGAGCTGCTGCAGGAGCTCTTCTCTGAGCTCTGTACCTGCCTCGCTCCCCCTCCCAGCTCGGGCAAAGCCGCCCCGCTGTCCGAGGAGCTGAAGCTGGCTGTGATCCAGGCACTCCACACCCTGCTGCATTCGGCTTATGGGGATATTATCTTGTCTCTGTACCAACCTTCCACCCTTCCGCTCTTAGGATTTGCTGTGTCTTTGCTTCTGACTCTCGCAGAGCAAGAAAAAGCAAAGCAAATCAAGATCTCTGCTTTGGAGTGCTTGCAGGTCCTGGTTCTGCAGTGTGACTGCCAGGAGCACCGACACCTGGATGAAGATGAGGCACAGCAATGTGGGGATTTGTTTGCTTCTTTTCTGCCCGGGATTTCTATTACACTGTCTCGAGTTATTGCTGGAGACATCAAACAAGGTCACAAAACCACCGTTTCTGCCATCAGACTCTTTTATCTGATTGTTGGCTTGGTAATGGCTGACAAACAGCTAGCCAGAATCCCAAAGAGTAAGGAAAAGGTGCCAGTGGAACACAGCAGAATATCAGAGTTAATGATCCACAGAGGACCTGACTGGACTAAAAGTACTGCTGAAAAACTCTCTCTTCTCTTGCATAAGGTGGTTGAATCTTCTTCAGTTCACCCCCACTGGAAGGTGAGACTGGAGCTGGTGGAGCTGGTCCACCACTTACTGAGGAACTGCAATCAGTCACTGGTGGATTCGTTCAGTCACCTCTTAAAGGCCTTGGTTGGGCTGGTTAATGATGAAAACAGCGAAGTCCAGAGCAGGTGTAACGAAGTTCTGCAAGGGATTGGAGAGCAGGGGCTTGTGGCACAGAACAGGGCTCTTGCTGATGTCCTCTCTGAGAACCTCCATTCCCTTGCCACAGCCCTTCCCCGCCTGATGAACTCTCAGGATGACATGGGCAAGGTTTCCACACTGAGCTTATTGCTTGGCTACCTGAAGCTGCTGGGCCCCAAGGTTAACATTGTCCTCAACTCCGTGTCCCACCTGCAGCGCCTGTCCAAGGCACTGCTGCAGGTTCTGGAGCTGGACGTGACGGACGTGAAGATAGTGGAGGCCCGGCGCTCTGGGCCACCGGGCCCCTTGCAGCAGGGTGTGCAGATGGGCAGGTGCCAGAAGAAATATTTCCGCTTCTTCACAGAGGAGAAGGTTTTCCAGCTCCTTCAGCAAGTGTGTCGTGTTCTTGGCTACTACGGGAACCTCTACTTGCTTGTGGATCACTTCATGGGGCTGTACAGCGAGTCTGGCCTATACCGAAAGCAGGCAGCCATGGTCCTCAACGAGCTGGTCATGGGAGCTGCCGGAGTGGGAGTGGATTTCCTGCGGGAAAGGGAAGCTCCACTGAGCGTGGATGATCTCAAAGGGTCCATAACATCCATTCTGGATGAGTACATGGACCAGGCGAACTGGTATTTGGTCACTAGCATTGACACAGAGGAAAGCAGCCCTGAGCAGTCAGTGCAGCACCTGGGACTCCCTGTGCGTGCGGGAGGGACATCCAGCAGCGTTCTCCATCTGTCCCCAGAGCCGCCAGTCACAACCCGCACCATGAACAGCAACATCTGGCAGATCTGCATCCAGCTGGAGGGCGTTGGCTGCTGTGCCGCTGTCCTCGGGAAGGAGTTCCGGCTGCTGCTGCTGTCAGCTCTCTACCCTGTGCTGGAAAAGGCTGGGGACAGGACTCTGCTCATCAGCGAGACAGCACTGGGGACACTGGCAGACATATGTGAGGCCTGTGGTTACGACTCGGTGCGGAGTTTGATTAATGAGAACTCTGACTATCTGGTGAACGGGATTTCCCTGAATTTGCGCCAGCTGGCGTATCAGCCACGTGCGTCCCAGGTCCTGGACACGATGCTGAGGCACTCAGATGCCAGCTTGCTGCCACTGGTAGAAGATGTAATCCAAGATGTCCTGTCTACACTAGATCAGACCTACAATAGCCAGGCTTCCACCTTCCTCAGGGTCCTCCACTCAGTCATGACTGCTCTAGGTACCAAAACGATGTTTACTTTGTGTAGTTCAGCCTTGCTGTCACTGAGGGTACTTGTGTAGGACCTTTCCACTTGCCATGGGAGGTTCCAGGTGGCCAAGGCGTTGCAGTGTGATGGCTGCTGTGCTTTGATTGCTGGGGCAGTGCTCAAGCAAAGATCACCAGTAATTTTCCCTCTCCAGTTTCCCTGGCCTGCAGCCTTTCACAGGAACACAGCCTTTAGTGGCTGAGAAAGGATGGATTCACTGCTCCCATGAATATTCTGTAGGAGCACATGGCATGTATTCCTTTTTAACTTTCTTGTAATGTCAGGGAGGTGACTGGGATGTGACAGCAGGTGCCTGAATCAGGTGCAATCCCATGAGGTGTGAGAACCATCTCATCTCTCATGGAATCCATGGCACCTTGCTGACTTGCAGGAGGGGATCGTGGTTGCCCAGTGACATGTCAGTTCCTTTTTTGCAGTGCAGTGGTTTGGAATGCCCAGCGCTCAGGGGCACCAGCAAAGGCAGACTGACAAGGGGCAGAGCAGGGCTCGGTCCCAGGGACAACAGGAGGTGACAATGACAAGTCAAGAAGTGGAACGATTCTTCCTTGACTATGTCAGCCAGAAGCAGATCGCAGAGGGGGATCTTCCTGACCTGGAGGAGGAGGAGGCAGGTCAGTGCTGTGCGTGGCTGGAGAGGAGCATGGTCAGCTTGCAGAGAGACTGTGACCTCTGAGGTGTCCTTTTGTCACATGGGGGCCTTGGGACCAGGCTGTCTCAGGTCTTCTCTGGGCTGACCTTGCTTCATGTAAAGTGCTGTTGGGTCTTCTCACTTTGTTCTCTTGGAGTGGGGGAGCTAAATGTTTGCAGATCAAGGCTTCTCTAGCTCTGAGACACAAGCACACTGTGTTTTTTCTTACCTTGTAACAGTTCATTTGGGTTCAGGACCTGAAGTTCCCCCTTTCCAGGATCCGACACATTTTCCTCGTATTCCCTTAGGACTCTCTGTACTGTTTTCTCCTGGCTAATGATGCCACTGCTCCCTTCTCACTTGGCCTTGTCAGGCACTGCAGACATTCATATAGGAAACTTTTTAGTCTTCACTGGGCTGTGCTGCAATCCTGACCTTTAAATACTTCATCTTTAAATATCCAGGCTTTTCATTTTTAATAAAAATCAATGGGAAATAAGTCCATGGTGAGAAGAGACTGCAAATGTCAGACCAGCTGCATTGTCCTGTAAAGAAAGCGAACATTCCCTAGCCCCACACTCGTAACTTAACCTGGCACTAACTCACAGAACTCATAGGCTTAACTATATCTAAGCACATTAAAACATGCCAAAGGCCTTACTCAGGAATTTGCGGAGTCGTTGTGGGTGGGTGATCTGTGACTGTGATCTCCCAGAGCTCCCAAGTCATTTTCATGGCTTCAGTAATGGTTTTGTCTTCCAGATGAGGTTCCCCTTGCTAAGCCAGAGCCCAGCTGTGACACAGGAGAAGCTCCAATGCCAAGCCATGCTCAGCTGGCCAGGGATGTGATGGAGAGGTGCATCCACTTGCTGTCTGATGGGAGCCTCCGAGTGCGGCTGAAGGTCGGTAATTGCCAGCTCTGAGGGGACAGATGGTGCCCATGAAGGGGTTGGTAGCTCGTCAGCATGTGTGCCATGCACGTTGGGCTCCCTGCCATCCCCAGGTTTGTGCTGCCATATGCTCAAGCAGGACAGATCCTCCAAACCTGGCATGAGAAAGGGAGATAATTTTTTGGGAGTGCTCTGGATTAGGAATGGCAGCCAGGAGGAACAGAATCTTAAGGGTGGCTTTGTATTGGACACTTCCCCTTGATGCTCATGACAGTTAAGTCTTGTGCTTTGTCCTTTGGTGGAGGAAACAGAAGCATCTTTCTCCCATCTGTGCTTCCCATCCCCCTTCCTCAGGCTGCAGTGCACAAGCTGATGAATGTTTTTGAAGTAGCTGGGGTGATGATAAGCAGGGCTAAAAGCCTGTCTTTTTTCTAATTATGAAAACCCTTTGAAGGTGGCCTCCTTTTAAAGTGCAAAGTGAGACAGAAAAATGAGGCATAACCCAGATTCTCATCCCAGCAGCCTCAGCTCTGCCAGGTGATCCTGGTGCCACAGCCGCAGTGGGGTCCAGGGGTGCAGCTCAGCCTGTGGGATCAGGGCAGGAATCCTGCCCTGCTCCCAGCCCAACTCAGGTTGTGTCACTGCAGTGCTTGTCCCTTTCCAAGCAGGCCTGATTTCTAGCACTGTTCACTTGTCCCTGTTGTGGTAAAACCGCACCCTTTGCTGTTCAACCCCTCCTCCCGGCTTCCTGCCGTGATGCTGGGATCCACCTGAATGTGTGGCACTGCAGCACTCAGAGTCTGTTCCCTCCCCTCCTGCCCAGGTCCTGGACGTGCTGGAGCTCTGTGTAACCATGCTGCATCCTCATGGAAACCATCTGCTTCCCATGGCTCACCGTGTCTGGCCAGCTCTCGTCACCCGGCTGATTAGCGACGACCCTCTGGCAGTGCTCAGAGCCTTCAAGGTATGGCAGTGACTGCCAGCTGGGGCTTGGGCAGGACGTGGCTCAGGGAGTGCTGTAGCTCAGGAGAGAGCACCAAGATCCTGCAGCAATGTTTAAATGTGGTTTGGAGCACAGGGTCACCCTGCTCTGCTGTGGGTGGGTTTGTACCACTCTCACTGCAGCTCGTCCACAGGTAAAGCCTTGATGCTGTTCCTGGGGGAAGCAGCAATGTTGGTGGTTATTGCAGGGATGAGAAAAACATCTCTACAGCCTCAGCAGATGTTACGGACACCATACAGTGCAGCTTGGCCTTGCTGAAGACACAGTCCCAGCATCCTCTTTGGAGATGTCAGATTGAAAATAGGTGAACATTCCACGACTGAGGCATTGGCAAGAGAAGGGAGAGCTTGAACAAAGACTTGGCCCTATAATGACATTATTAAAGAGCTCCTGACCTTGTCAGCTGGCTCCTTTCTCCTCCTGACTCACAGGCTGGCCAGTAAAGCGTGTTTCCAGAGGTTGCCAGCCCCAGCATTGCAGAGGAATCCATCTGCTGGGCAGAGTGAGATTCATTTTAGAATCCTTCTGTGTGAATAAAGAGAGTTTTGATTCCTGAAATTCCAGAAGGCATGCACTGCAGTCTCAGAATAGCCATATCTATCATGTGCCTGCCCTAAAAGGAGATAGAGATTGCTGTAAAAAACTAATTAACTCTTGAAAAATTCCAAGTCACCATTACAATTTGCACCCAGTTTGGGTTTTACTGTATGAATTTCCCCCAAAGTGTCTTCCTGCCTAAATTCCAGGAAAAGAAGTGTCATATCAATGTAAAGCTAACACAAAATAACCAGCATCTCAGTCCTGCACACTGAGACCATGGGCTCAGTGAAGTTCCAAAAGAGAGATCAGTGTTCTGGCCACATGGATCCCCCTTTGTTTTTACATGCATTTAGTGCCATTCTCTATCCAGTTTGAGTTTGATCCTGAGCAGACGCCAGTAGTGCTAGGTGCCCTTTTCTGTGGCCACTTGGCCTTTCTGCTTTCTAACATGCTTGGAAAGATGGGTTGTCTGCACCACAAAAAAGATTTAAGGATATAATCATATTTAATGGCATTTTCCATCAGAGACTCCTCCACTAATTCTGAGTAAGAATGCACAGCTGCTCTTACCTTTACTGTGCTAATGAGGGAAGGGCAGTCCAGGAGGTCAGGCAGGTGACACTGCAGAGCAGGGTGCAGCTCACTCAGCCTCTCAAACATTCACTTTCTGTTCATTATGGGGAAGCTGGGGCAGGTGTGGTCACAGTGCTCTCACCTGCAAAAACAATTCTCCAGGAGAGTGAATGTCTGAATCCCCCAGCTGGTGTGGATCACTGAGCTCCTCCCAGGCCAATGTGTGCACTATCCCCTGTAACTCATGTCTCTCTTAGGTGCTGTGTACCCTGGCTCAAACATGTGGGGACTTCCTGAGGCAGAGGTTCTCCAAAGATGTCCTGCCCAAGCTGACCAGTTCCCTCCTCAGCCAGGCCCCAGTGAGTGCCAGAGCTGGGCCTGTGTACAGCCACACACTGGCCTTCAAGCTGCAGCTGGCTGTGCTGCAGGGCCTGGGCTCTCTCTGTGAGGAGCTGGACATGGGTGAGTACCAGGGGAAGCACAGGCTGTATGGATCTCTGCCAGACTTTACTGTCTCCTCTCAGCTTGCTGCTTCTCCTCCTGCTGCCCACGGGATTGATTTCCTGATCTTCTCTAGCCTGAATCTGTTCTCTTTGGGAGCTCTGTAAAGAGGTGCTGGGCACTCTTTTCTCCTGAGGAGACAAGTGGGAGAGAAGGTTCCCACCACATGTAAAATGTGACTGCTCATCCCACTTGTGGTTGAGAAAAGGGTACAGAACAGAGTCCCTGCATTGCTGTTGGGCCACACTTCGTTCTTACTGGACAAACTAGAGCCCAGATAAGACTTCTGTCTAGCTTGACTGGTTCCATTGTGGGCTTAGCTCTGAGTGACACTTTAAATCCAGCACATCACACTCTTCTATTGAATGAAACTGAAATTCTCCCCAAGTGAAATTTCTGGAACTGGCTTTGATGAGGGAGAAGGTTTGCTGGCTAGTTACTCTTTTCCTCTCAGTGCCCTTGATTGCTTTCCTGACTTTGCAGCAAGATGCTTAAAAGGCAAGGTCACAAGAGCTCCAGGTCAGACAGCTCAAAGGCTCTGAAGCCTCTGCTACCAATTTGGAGCTGATTCCATTAGGCAGCAGCTGCTGAGGAGGTCACCTCCTACCCTTCTTTCCTGTTCCATTTCTGCAGGCGAGAGTGACCTGAATAAAGTGGCAGATGCCTGCCTGATTTACCTCAGTGCCAAGCAACCTGTGAAACTGCAAGAAGCTGCCCAGAGGTAATGTCTCTTAAATGCAGGTGTGTTGGGTGTACAAACAGTGGGGGACAGAGGAAGCATGGTGATCCCATTCCTTTTGGACCTTTCCTGTTCCACCTTCCGGCACATTCAAGTCCTGTACAACAGGGTGTGAACTCATGGAAGTTTTCTGTGGTGAAGTATCACTCCCCAAAATGAGTTAGAGAGGTCAGCTGTCAGCTTGCACAGACATTACAGGTGACCTTGCAGTGCATTTGGGGATAGAGGGCAAGATGTGCTACTTGCTTTTTCCTCACCAAATACTTGAGGCTTTTGGCCCACTGGTGGCATCAAACTGCGGAGGGAAGACAGCTATGGAAGAGGATGTGCCAGGCATTCCCTTGTATTTTATCGCTTAATACCTTCTGGAGGCTGAGGGATCTACTTCTGTTATCCTTCCATTTTCCCTGGGCTCCAACCCAGGCTCTGCCAGGTGGACCAGAATTTGTTTGGGAAGCTGTCAGTCTTGGCACCAGTGTTGCTGTGAGAGTCTAAAAGAGCAAAGACAGTTTAGGTGAACACACTCCAGCTCTAGGAAGTGTTGACAGACATACTTTGCTGCTTGGTGTACAAAATCCTTCTCAGCATGTTCTGCTGTCAGGATAAGAAATCACTGTTGTCATATGTTGTCACCTGGAACCAAGGCCGGAAATTTCAGGAGACAAAACGAGTCCTGGTGCAGAACATGGGACATAAATCAGGAAGCCCCTCTGCGAAGGATGGGGGTGAAACCCAGTCAAGCCCCCCTTCCTGTGTGGCCAGCCCTGCCCTCCCCCGAGGGGAGGGGAAACCAGCAGGTTCCGCAGGCTCTGCGGTTTCGGATTTCCAGGGCAAGCTGCTGGAAAGGGAAGTGCAGCCCATCCGTTCCCTCTCACAAAGCACAGGCTCCCGGGGGTGCAGGGTGTGAAGGGCTTTGTGTGGCTGGGCAGCAGTTCAGAGCCAGCGCTCTCCGGAGCTGGAGCATTCCTTTGTTTGTATCTCTGCGCGGACGGGAGCAGGTTTATTTTTACCTTGGAGGCTTTCACGGCAGCACAGCAGGCTTCCAGCAGCATTTGTTCTGCAGAGGGGCTCTATGCTGTGGGAGTGCATCCCCTTAATGCAATAATGCCTCAGTCTCTGCAAGCAATGCTGGATGAAAAGCGGAACACCAGGATTTATCTAGATATTTGGAATCTGAAGCTTTTAAATCATTAACCAAGCAGCTTGAGAAGCTGTGCAATTTCCCCCCAACAGCAGGGGTAGGGGGACTATGAAATGAGCCCTGTTGGAAGCTGTATGCTAAAGTGAGCTCACTTGTTAGAGCGAAAGGGCAGCAAGGGCAAGTAACATTTTTCTCCTATATGTAGCTTTTATTCTATTTTAAGGGGAAAATGCCATATGTTTTGTTCCTTCCCCCATTGACCAGACACACATATGCACTGAGGTGTGCATCATGCCTGGCCTGACACTACAGATATGGCAGCATTTGCAGGTTTCTTTTGGGTTTAATTTTTTCAGTTTAGCCCTGTGTGATCCCTGGTCTTGGAGCTGGATGGATCAGAGTTCATCGTATCACACTCACTTTTAACTGTATTTCCCTGATATGAGGTTTCAGCCTGGAAAAGTCAAAATTAGTTTGGACCATAACAATCAGCTCCTGTATCAGGATGAGAATCATTTCTCAGCCACCCTTCTATTTCTGTTCTCCAGCTGCTGAACCACCACACTCCTGTAAGTTCTGGCTCTTCTTGCTCTCCATGTGCCTGAAAGTAATCCTGCAAACTGACACAGGCTGTCACACATAAGGGCCTTTCCATCTAAGCAAGGGCAGTGTTATCAGCCTGATACATGAGAAATTCTGCATTTTAAATGCTTCTAAAAACAGATAGACCAGAACTAATCTTAGCCCCAGCCTGAGCGCCAGCATACGTCACATAACTCAGCTTTATCACTGCAGAAATCATATGAGGTAAAAGGATGTTTGGAATCAGCTTGCCATGGTGATTTATACTAACTGGCCTTTGCTCAGCTCTTAGGGTTCTTATTCAACTGATGGGTTGTGACCTGTCAAAAGCAAGGTCACAACTTGCAAAGTCAGTTGTAGCTCCAAAAATCATACACTGACTACATGAGGATTCTGAAGGCATGCAAAGAGCTGAGCAGGAAGTTTTGGCCAAGGTGCTTGAGCCACTCAGAAAAAAATAAAAAGGGAGTTTGGCTATCATCCAGGGGTGTTATCATGCCCCAAGGAGTGTGCTTAATCCCATTTATGGGACCCTGTAGTTTTATTAGATGAAGCAGTGGGAGTAAGTGATTTTTGTAACTGCAGCTTCATGCAATACTCAACAGGCAAAAATAGATGCTGGGAAAAAAAGAACTCCAGCACATCTGAGGAAGAGAAAATGGGACAATAACGATAGGTTTTCCTAGAAGAGGACTGCTGGGAGTATTCCAGGAGAGCATTATCCAAAGCTTTTTAAAAAACCAAACAACAAACAAAAACCAAATGCAAAATCACCAAAGGGACCAAACCTGCTGAAGAAGAGTTTGGGAATGCAAGGAGCACTAGAAAAGTCTTTGCCATCATTGAAGAAGATGAGCCCATGCAAGGGAGGGGAAGTGCCCAGAAAGACTTGAGCAAGGGGGGAGGCGTGTGGGGCTCCACCTCTGGGAGCAAGGCCAGGGGAGATGGTGGGGACTGAAAGTCACAATTTGTAAATCTGAGCTTCTCATCAGTTTATGAAGTTGCATCATCCCTGACAAGCTTTTCACTTCAGGGAATAAAACCTTGAAGGAAAAGAGATTAGGAAATTGTCACTGGCCCCTGTCAAAGCTGACAAGTAGTTTTCCATTCTTTCAGTTTCAAGTGACTGTTTCGAAATTTACACTTAGTTCCTACTAAAGGTTTGCAGCTCATGATCTTTCAGTCAGCAGTCTGGATAGGAATGCTTTTTTTTCCCCCTAACTAAGATGCAGAAATAATTTCCTCAGTTTTTACCAAAGCCTGTGGTGGGCTGTATCCAGTTAAACATTCAGCAGGGATGGAAAGCCAGGAAGCCTTGTCCTTCTGCCAGTCTGCTGCCTGTGCCATGGCTTTGCTTGGAGTTGGGAAAAGACAAGGCAACAGAATAGCCAAATTGCTCTGTGCTAATAGAATAAGTTTAGCATACTTAGGACAAATATGAGCTATTTGGGGAGCTTTTTTCATACCAGGGTTGATTATGCAGCTTACCTCTTCTAGTTTGCTTGTGTGGTTTGTTGGGTATTCATTGTCAGCTGTCACTCTCAGCCTGGATCGAAGCATGCCAGAACAGCCACCTGCTCAAGGCAAAATTCAATAAAGTGATATTTAAGAAAAAAAAAAAAAAAAGAAAAAGAAAAAGGCAACAACAGAAAACAAACTTGGATTAACCCCAGGATTCTTTGCTATGGAAACAGGTTGCTTGGAAACTACCCCAGAGTTAGTTTGAAAATGTAAAAGTCAAGTTGTTCTTTAAGCTGCAGAGCATTCCTGGCTATCAGGGATAATCATAGCCTCTAACCATTATGGGCACCAGAGGCAGCGAGTTCTGCAGGGTCTGGATAATCACTGAGGGTCTCTCTCCCTGGAGCACTGATTGGGAAGAGGTTGGAGAGCAGAGTGTCTGTGCTGTGAGTGTAAGAGCTATAGCTGTGTGTGTGCTGGGGATCAGCAGCCTGCTGCACAATATCCCCTCTTCCCATGTTCACAGCAATTCCTTGTCCTTGCCTGCTCCCATCCCAGCCATAAGGAGCGAGGATTATCTCTGCAGCTGCCCATTGAAAACTGGGTGGAACCACTGGGAGCTGGTGTTTGCTGGCACACAGAGCTGTGTGCTCCTGCTGTCACAGCCAAGCTGAGGGCACGGGCAGGGCAGTGTCTGGAGAGCTGGAGCCACAATGGCAGCAGCGAGAGCACCACACCCTGCCCCTGCCAGCCCCTCACTTGGGCTGGCATTGAGTGGGTCAGTCCTCCCCTGAACAAAGCCAGGGGAATGAGGAGTCCTGTGAGCTCACCTGCATCTGGCCAATCCACAGAAAAAAGGTCGTGTTGCTGAGGCAGCTGTTGCCAAGCCCAGCTATCAGTGTGGAGCACATTCCCACTGGTTTCTCTGGAGCAGGCAGATAGGCACTGCCAGCACCTTTGGGAGGGGACACTGCCAACAGCTTCAGTGGTGACATCTCCCCTCTTGCTGTTCAGAGACCTGCACTGGGGGACAGGTGAGGTGTTAGTGGCAGAGGCAAAAGCAGCAGCTTTGGCTGTGCATGAGTAACGAGTCACACGCACAGCGTTATTGTAAAGAGGAGAGGGAACTCTCTCCTACCTTCATCTCATTTCTGTGCTCTTTCACTTTACCCATAACACTGCACTCCCTTTTCAGAGAAGAGCTTCTCAAAGGGATTTCTCCCTGCTTTACATTGGAAGCAACCTCGCTTTAGGGATGAAAGCTCTTCCAGGAGAAATTTGGACAGCAATCAGATCTGGATTTTGTGTGGCTTTTGTAGCAAGTGATCTTTGCTTGTAGAGAGAGAGTTCAGTCCTGTGCTTCTTGGGGGGGCAGAGACAGACCTTCTTGATTTCTCTTCCCATTACCTGACCTGGCAGCTGTTCTTCTCGCAGCTCCATGATTTCACTGAAAGCAGAGACCTGAAGATACATGACTGGGCTTTACTGGGATCTTGGAAAAGCATACCATAGGTGTGGTGAGTGCTGAGTGCCTTTGGTGCTCACAGAGCACTTGGCACCATTCAGGAAGAGGCCTTGCAAATTCCAGTCTAATTTTGTTCATGGCACAGCCAGAGAGTTTAATACCCATTAAGCCTAATAACCTGTGCATTAAACCCTGACACAGACCTAGCTAAGCCCAAATGTTGCTGCAGGGAGAGCTGGCAGGAGGGGGTGGGTAAGTGTAGGTCACACAAATCAACATTTGCTCTTTCACTCCTTGAGCTTCCTGCTCTTCAGCAGCAGCTGTGTCCCAGCAGCTCACAGCTGGAGCCCTGTGTGAAGGGCATGCTGGAAAGGCAAATCCCATCTTACTGAGGTATGGAAATGCAAAGTGAAAACCATCAACACAGCAGTAAATCTGCAGAGGAAGTTGTGATTCCTCTTTTCCTTCATTCTGTTATTAATGAAGGTTCTGTTTGGATTTGGTTTAAAATCCTGCTTTGTGAAAGGTGCTGTGCAGAACTACAAAAATTTGGAGGCAGCTAATAAGGACTTGGGATGGTGGGAGATCTCACTTGAGCAAAAAGCCCTCAGATACAGTGTTAAGCTTCCCTTGAGGCCCAGCCTGGGCAGCTGTCCCCAAATACTCCTAGGTTTGCCAGCTCTGGAAAGGCAGAGAAGCCCAGCCTCCCAAAAACCAGAGGGTGGTGAATAACACAGACAACTTCTCCCAAGATCTCTGCAGGAGCTGTTGTCCAAAAGATCCCAGATATGCATAGCACATGCAGTCACCCACAGTCACCTCCCACCACCTGGGACAGGCAGGTTTATGTTTGTGCCAGCGACAGCTCACACAGTGCCAGCACCAAGCCTGGGTCAGTCCTGCACCAGCTGCTTGTTTGATGTCCATAAGTGACTCTGTGGTATCATAAATGTTTTTCTCCCACACGCCAGTAGCTGTGAGGCACAGAGCTGCTTTCTCAGGCACAGGGGCCACTGTGCTGCCCTCTGTAAAGAGCAGAATTTGTGCAGCTGCCAGAGGTTGCCAATAGCATGAAAGCTTTCCTTAGCTCTTAATAACCCCATTGGGTGCCAGCCACAAGGCCTTGTCCTTACTCTTCTTTCCTCTCTTCCTGCTGTTTCCCCAAGTGTTTTCCTGCACTTGATGCACGTGGACCCTGACAGCACCTGGCTGTTCCTGAGTGAAGTGTGCTGCCCCGAGGGGTACGAGCCCCCCCACGCCAGCCTGCGGCCGGTGAAGCTCAGCGGGATGGGGCGGCCACGGAACGAGCTCACGGACAACGTGCTGCTCCTGCTCCAGAGGCTGCAGCAGCAGGAGGGCACAGCTCCCAGCAGCAGCACACAGGAGGCATCTCCTTCCTGACAGACCTGCCCGGCAGCTGGGATGGGAAACAGGAACCACCAGGATAGAGCTCACCTGGGAAAACACCATCACTCAGGAGCCAAATGGTTCAGGGGCAGAGGAAGGGCTGCCCAGTCTGGGGCACTGGTTGAGACACTGTCCCTGTGGCAGAGGGTTTATTTGTTTGAGAATGAGGTGGGTACATGACCCTGACTCCTCCTGACTTGTGCCTGGCCAGCACCATATGCAGAGAAAAATGGCACATCTCTTCCAAATTCTTCAGTATGAAGAGAGTCATCTTCCAGAAATTACTTCTTGATCCTTGGTGGGGGGGGTGCCCCTTTAGCACCCCCCCAGCCTCTCTGATATTTTCACATCTGTGATGATCCCTCCCATTCTCAGCTGGATGGTGACCAACAACTCAAAGCAAAAGCTTTTTCTGGCTTTTACCCTTCCCAGGAAGAGAATCTTGTTTGGGGGTGCACTATAAACCTGTTCTCTTTAAAAGCAGTTAATCTCAGAAGTTAAAGTGCATTTCCAATAAATTCCTTACCTCTGTTACTATCAAGAACAATGTGTCCTCTCAGAGGCATCAGGGCTGCTCCTCACAGCTGCAGTTTGCTGAGACCAGATGGAGGCGGCCAAACGTGCTCTGCTCTCTATCTCACTCTCTGTGAGGTTCTGTGGAGAATCAGCCAGCCCTGATTCAAACCTGGGAGGGATTTACAACTTCTCCCATGCCCAGATCACGGTTCTCAGGCCATTTTTAACCCCTTCCCCAAGGAGAATTGGATGAAGCACCTGCCTGTGCCCCAGTACGGCCTCTGTGTTTGTCCATGGCAGCACCAGCAAGCACCGTGGCACCCCAGCAGTGCCATGGTTTGTCAAAGTAGGGACAGCATGGTACAGTGAGCAGAGGATGACTCCTCTTTGGGGTCAGCTCACTCTCCCCTGATCTCCAGCTCCCACATCCCCAGGCTCTTTCTGCAGAGATTGTCCACAGGCACTGCTTTGCTCAGCTGCTCCCAGATCCCTCAGCTTCACCCAAGCAGCTCCTGGCAGCAGGCTGCCTCCTGACACTCGGGGAAGATCTATGCAAGTGAAGCAAAAGATCTTGACTAAATTTAGAAGCAAGCTCAGAAATACAAAAACCAAAGCAATAAACAGATTGTTACATGGAGCAGGCTTTCTGCATCACTGTTGGGATCCTGGGTGAACATCCAAAACAAGTATCTGTTGGTGGGCCCAAGGGCACTGTCTCTGCTGCCACCTCCCTCCGCTGAAGTTACTTCCCCTTGTGTCCCTGGTTTTATTCAGGTTTTCCTCCTGTTTGCTTCTCCAGGGAAAACACAAGTCAGTGTCTTTTTATCCAGCAGGACACGGCTGCAGGTCAGCATAACTCTTTTTTAATATCTGTTCAGTGTTTAACGCTGCTTGGGTTCTATACAAAGGAGCCTTCAGAGCTGCTCTGACAGGGCAGGCAGGGAGGTGAAATACTGTCTTTGGTTTCCAAGCGCCCTTGGGGCTGGTGCAGTTTCCTGGGTTGTTGTAGCACTTGACAAAACTCATCCATTAGGTGCAGATGCTTCATCCAGTCTCGCTCTGCTTGGCTGTGCTGTGGTGGTGACTCCAAGGACCCATCCTGCCCATGCCAAGGCTTGCCATCCTGCAGGACAGGCGTGGGATTCAAGGGCAGCATTGTCCCATCACTGCCCAGTGCCCAACCACACCACCCAGGCAGGGCTCTGGCACAGCTGACTGCACCAAGACACCCCCACCCAGAGCCTGTGATTCACAGTGCTGTCCAAGGATTTTCCCCACAGGCTCAGCCCCAGCCAGCAGGTGGGTGCTGGTGGCAGGAGAGGCTGTCCTGCCTGTCAGTCAGCTCCTCTGAGCTACGTTATCACCCTTGCTTTATTGGAGGCTGAGTAAATTGCTTTTGTCTGAGGCAGGATAATGGCTGGGAGAGGGACTGTGTGGAAATGGCATTTTCATGAGGCTGGTTCCTCCCCAGCAGTGACTTGCATATTAAGCTCAGCCTCTTCACAAGCCCCGGGCTTTTGCCACCAGAACTGTCCTCCACCAAGTAGCCCCCAACACTCTGGGGTAGGGACCCCCAGCTCCCCCCACTCCAGTCACACTCTCTGGGATCAGAGAGCAAATAAAACCGTGTCCAGCTGCCTCCTCCATGCAGGAACACAGCCAGGACCCTGGGGGTCTGCCACACTGTGCTGGGGGCACAGTCCCACACACAGCCCCTGGCACCAGGCACTACTGAACCACGCATACAGATCCAGCAGGGTCCTCTCCTCCACTCTTGCTCCCAAGATTTCCTATAAATTCAACAAAACTAATCTCTTCTAATAAAACCCGTTATTGTTAAAGCTCACCTCCAGGTTTTACAAATCACTGTGCTGCACAGCAATTTGTTTATTCCCCGTTTGAGATGATTTGCAGCCTCCTGCCCTCCCTAGCATGTTCCTGGGTCTTCCTTTTCCTCTGCTATGTCCTGTGTTTTGCTGCACTGGTGACCAGTGCATCCCAGTCTCTCTTCTCACAGCAATCCTATTCCCTGGGGTTGTTTGAGAATAACCCCAGCCCCACAGCTCTGCCATGAATTGCTATGGCACAGCACCATTACTGGAAAAAACTTGCTGCAATGATTTACAGCTGCTGCCCTGCAGCTCCTGAATGTTTTTCCCCTGTACCTTTTGCTCCTCAAGACCACAGTTCTCCAGGTGGCAGAGGTGACCATGGCTCCAGAGACACCAGCCACCTCTGCCTGTTCCTGCCCCCAGCACAGGCTGACACCTCTGGTGGCAGAAAGAGCCACCAGCTCTTTCTCCTTCTCACCAGCACAGCGAGGGGTGAGCATGATGGAGGTCCAGGGAGTAACAAGCTTCAAAGGAGCTGCAGGATTCCAGGCAGCTGGGCTAGGCTGGGCATTGCCAGTGCTCAGAGTTGCTTTCCCACTGGACAGGCAGAGCCAGGCCCCAGGGACAGCCAGCACCCTGCTTTGGGAACCCCACCTCCCACCAGGCTGTAGGTCTGGTCTGAGTGCCCAGGTGGGTGTCAGGATTTCACCTGGCAGCCCACCCAGCACCCCACAGCCACAGCATGGAGCATCCCCAGCTCACCTGGGACCTTGCTGTGTCCCGCACCCCTCAGGGCAGCAGCTCCCAGGCTGGGCAGGAGCTCCCCAGCTGCAGCTTTTTAAAGCTCTGAGCCCTCAGCTGTAGGTGATGATGTTGGTGCCCACCCTCATGCCCATCCCCGCCGGCCCCAGTCCAGCCGCCCCAGCTCTGCCCCTTTGTACCCGAGGCAGTGCCAAAGCCCTGTCCCCTTGCCGTGCCACAGACAGAGAGCGCAGAGGCTTCGTTTAAAGAGCTTTATTAGCTGCAGCAGGTCTGATGGTGGCAGGCTGGGGGGCAGCAGGGCGGGGAGGCTCGGGACCCCCCTCTCCCCACAGCTCCGTCCCCAGTGGCCGTGGCCACCCCTGGGGGCAGCAGGGACGGGCTCTGCTGTTTGCACTGCGACACAAGAGCCCGTGGGCCGGACCCTGCCCGGGGCAATGCGGTGCTGTGGCCTGGTGGGGAGGGATGCTTGAGCGAGAGGGGGCCGAGAGCCGCTGCAGCACGGGCAGCGGGACGGGGCTGGCGCTGTGAGATGCGCGGGGAGGAGCAGTGATGGGTGAAGGGGGCAGCGCCATGGCACACCTTCCCGGGCACACCTTGCGGGCATGCACGGAGCACGGGCAGCTGCCTGGCTCAGCGATGCGGGAATGTGCCGTGCCGTCCTTCCTCTGCTGAGCTCAGGCCTTGACGTGCTGCTGGGGGCTGCGGGCAGGCAGGGCGGGGCAGGGAGGGGTTGTGGGGATACGCACGGGCTGTAGGATGGAGGCTGGAACTTAGATACGCACTGTGGGGCTGGAACCGAGCAACTAAACGGGGCAACCTACAGGGACAGGCGGCTGGGTCTGCGAAGCACGGGGGAGGGCAGGAGGATCCCGTGGGCAGGGGGTCCCACTGGGCAGGGGCTGGGACACAGCGGCGGCAGCGGCGCCCACCCGCACAAGGCCGGGGGATGGGGATGGGGATGGGGATGGGGATGGGGACCACCAGGTGCGGGCACATGCCCCGGCCCCGGGCACAGCCCCAGCGGTGCAGCCGTGGATGGCGCTGACGGGTCCGGTCCCGCACCACGCCGAGCCTGGCACCGCTGGGCCCGGGAGAAACCCGCGGCGGCTGTGGGAGAGGGGGTGGCGAGGGGTGCTGGACAGGACGGGGTGGCGGGGCCAGTCTCTGGCAGGGGGTGCGGGACCCTCGGTGGCTCCGCTGAGTCCGGGGCGGAGGGGGGCTCCGGCGTCCCCCCGCAGCGCCCACCTACAGCACACAGGAGGTGTCTGCCGAGCGCTTCTTCAGCTCCTTCCCGGCTTTGTGGTGGTGGTGGTGGTGGTGTGCGTGGGCTGAGCCCGGCGCGGAGAGCTCTGCCAGCGGGACCTCCCGCAGCTCGGTGTCCTGGGGGTGCCCCGGGCCCCCCGCTGCCTCCACCCGCAGGTACGCCTTCACCTTGTGGTGCCGTGCCTTGCCGTCGCTGGAGTCGATCACCCGGCACTCGTACGTGCCCTCGTCCTCCAGCTTCACTCGCGACAGCCGCAGCTTGTGGGAGATGTTGCTGCCGACCACCTTCACCACCTGCATCGGGGCAGACGGGCGGTCAGGGGGCCCCAGGACTCCCCTTTCCCCCCAGATGCCACCCCCAACCGTGTGCCACCACCCCGTGCCACGCCCCAGCTGGCGAGGACATGGTAAGGGCTGGTGAAGGTGGTGCGGGGGGACCCAGCCCCAGCCTGGGCCCGCAGGATGATGGAAGCCCTGGCTCGCACCCGGCCGCGCAGGGCTCAGAGATCGATGCGGAACCACGCTGGCTAATTAGCTTTTCTACCAAATTGATTCGCTCTCAGTATTTATCACCCAATGAAATTTAAGACTTACTCACTAGCCAGAGCCGTGGCTGCTCTGGGCTGGGTCAATAAATCAGATTTATAACCCACCCCGAGGCCCCTGGCTCTGTTCCCTATAATCACGCTGGATGGCAAAGGCCGTTTTTCTACTCACCGCTGCATTTGTTAGCTGAGGATTTTATGGTGTTTGGAAATGTGGCTGGAGAGGGGCAAAACCCACCCCAAACAGCACAGGAGACCAGGACGCCTCAATGTCCCCTCACTGTGGTGGCATCCAGTGCTGGAACATGAAGACACCTGCCCACACGTGCACGCACAAGCACGTACAAACACACGTGAGCACACACAGGCTGCTGCATTCAGCTGCTCTGCACACCGTGGGCTGCTGAGAGGGACCTGGTGCCACAGGTCACAGCCAGGGCCACCCCAAACAGCACCTCAGGCCTGCCCAGTGGCCATGTGCAGCCATGAGCCCCAACCCTGCATTGCTCCAAGTGTGGGTCTCTCGGGACAGGACAAGTCAGGGGCAGGAGCTGCCAGGCCGTGGTACAAGTGTGCCCAGATGCTGAGACTGTCATGGGAAAAGAGCTTCAAAAAAAACCTCTTCATCGAGAGAGCCAGAAGTCACTGAAATTAATGGCTGGGAAATTTAGAACTAATAAAATAAAACCCCAATTTGCTAGTGCCACCAGTGGCCATGGAGCCGCTGCCCAGCAGGTCACTGAGCCTCAGGAGAGAAGATTTTATGACAGGACATAACTCCTGTGGCTCCACCAGCACAGGCAGGGCAGCGACGGCCCTCACTGCCCACGGGAATGGGGCACAGCCCCTGGCATGGCCAGGATGGGCAGATTTGCTGTGCCCAGCCCCAGCTCAGCCCTGTGCTGTGCCGTTGGATTCAAAGGGGGAAAAAATAAATCCAAACTCATCATGTTTCACTGCTCTCCATCCCTGCGAAGCATCTCCAGCACCAGGTGTGTTTGGTGGATAACACACAGCCAAGGGGTGCCTGGCACGGTGGCTCCTCCTCGGGATTTCCACCCCCCCTCACTGTTTGACCCTGCTGTTTGTTCCCTGTCACCTGCTGTTGTGGCTGTACCTCACATTCCGTCAGAAACGCCCATGCTCATTTACCTCCTCCATTCCATAAACACTTAATGACCAAGGACATTTGAAATAACAACAAACAAAAGAGGTTTGAAGCTCCAGCCTCTCCCTGCTGGCTGGATCTGGAGGAAGCAGCAGAGACCTCGAATGATTCAAAATAAATCCTGGTTACTCACACACCCATCAATTCCATCCCAGTGTGCAATTAACTGCCTAATTATGCTGAAACATGCACCAATTCAGCTGAGAAGGAGTGCTGGCCCCAGCGTGGCTCCATGTACCAGCCAGCCCCTCCTGCCCCTGGAGCAGGGCTTGGGTGGGATGCAGGGAGCAGCAGCCCCCCGAGCTGAGCAGACAGGGCTCTGCCAGGCCCTGAATGCTCCAGCAGCAGTCCTGGGACTTGGCTGTTTGTGGGGCAGGGAGTCACAGCACCCCGGTGAGGAACAGCTCCTGGAGGAGCCTGCTTTGGTTTGGATATGGATTGCAGGTGTCAATTAATCAAAGGCGACATGACCCCTGGAGGGGGATTCGTTACCATCAGGACAGCCATGCACTGATCCTGCAAGTGGGTGCTGAAAGGTGATGCTCTCCCTTGGGAAGGGCTCCCCAGGGATGAGAGACTGATCCTGGGTGTGGGGGGCACCCATCTGAGGAGCCACGAGTGCCTGACCAGCCCCATCCCCCCTTGCTCACTCAGTGAAGGAAAATGGAAGTGCCAGGAGCGGCTGCCAGGTGATAGTGGGACGCTTTCCAGCACTGCTCTGTGTCTGTGGCACCCCTAAATGCAGAACTCCTGAGGCAGGGAGAGCCAGGGGGGCACACACCTGGCAGCAAAAGGCCAAGAGTGTTTTATTTAACTGATTAGCAGCTCCTCATTCTGCTCACACGAGCCTAAATGGCTTTGGGATGCTAATCCGCCGAGTCAATTGGATTATTTTATCCCTGGCATTAATGTGCCACTCAGATGCTGGACGAGGCTCAGGGTCCAGGCTGTGCCTCTCGGTGCCAGGGAGAGCAGGGCAGCCACCCCTCACCCCGGTCACCCCCAGGACTGAGCCAAGGCAGACCCAGGTCTCCCACCCTGGTGTTCCCAGCCTGTGGCACTGGGACCAGCAGAATGTCCTTCTGAGCCCTCAGCAAGAACCATCACCCAAACTCACGCTGATTTTTGTCGCCTCTTTCCCGGGCTCCTCTGGTGGTGATGATTTCAGCTGTGAAAAAAGCAGCGTAGGGGGAGACCAGAGAGAGAAGAGAAATGGTCAGCTCACCCCACCAGACCCCTTCCCACTCCCAGGGTGGCTGCCCCAAGCAGGAAGGAAGAGGGAGAAGGGGGAAGAGAGAAAAGTCTGCCCAACCCCAGCAAACCCAGGCACCCAGGGCAGATGAAGTCACGCTGGGTACCCGGGATGGGAGGGAGCAGCAGCAGCACAGCAGCCAGGGAGGATGGGGTGCTCACCCACAGGTCCCACTGCATCTCAGCTCCAGGTGCTCCCCACAATCCAGGAGCGGGGATGGAGCCCTGATCACTGTGGCATCACTGCTGCAAGCAGTGACCCCTGTCCATGGAACTCTGTCCCCATCACTGCCAGCACTGCCCCATTGCCACCAACCTTCCCCCCAGCAGCCACAGGCTGTGCATTCCCAACGCCTCCAACACCCTTGGCACTGCCCACCCTCGACCCACCCACCCTGGCTGCGCTGCCCTGAGGCTCCTCAGTTTATGGCAACACCAGCAGCAGCCCTGCCAAAGTCACTACAATAAAGACTCATTAAAATCCCCAAAGCTGTTTCCCATTCTTTGGCCCTTATCTCTGTGTGAACAGAGAGAGAAATAAAGAGAGGCTGTTTGCCGGACGAGTACACAGGGGAACAGGGGACAAGGGAGGGGTGGAGGGTGCAGGGCCAGGAGGGATGAGCTGGTGATGAGATAGGCAAAGGCACAAGCACAATAAAAATAAACAAATCTTCAGCCTGGGATGGCTCCTGGCAATGGGCCAGGCAGCCCCTTGGCTGGGAAGGACGGCCAGGACAGCCCAGCCCTGCTGGCCCCGGAGCATCCTCGGTGCAGCTGGACCTCGAGCAGCCCATGCAGCCTATTGATGGTACCACAGGACCCTCGGCTGCTCTCTGTCAGAGCAGAGGGTGAAACCCTCCTCTGCAGGTCTGGTCAGCACCGGGGCTGCTGCTGTGTGTTGGGGTCCCACCAAAACCCAGCCGTGGCTGCAAACAAAGCCCTTCCCCATGGCAAGTGCAGTTCTGCCTGAAGGGCTCTGCCTTTCCTTGCTGCCGTGGAGGAGGAGGACGAGGGGCATTACCTGACTGGAAGCCCACGTCTGTTTGTCCGTCCAGTCCTTGTGGTTGCGGACGTACCACCACTGGATCTCGAGGGAGTAGGAGGGGGAGCCGCTGCCGCGGAAGGAACACGCCATCTCCACATCCTCACCCGCCTGCGCCGTCATGTCATGGGGGGTCTCGGTGAAGAGAGCTGCTGGAGACAGAGCGAGGGCTGTGGGTGCCTGCGGGGACATTGCACTGTCCCAGTGAAGGACAATGCCACCGGCCACACAGGCAGAGTCACCAGGAGTGCCTGGATCCTTCCCTGGCAAACAGACCCAGCCCCTACGGCAGAGCAGACAGGTCCTCGTCATCCCCAGCTTCTCCTTTCCCACACCAGTGTCCCCTCCCCACTCCCAGCAGAGGTGCCTGCTCCCTCAGCATCCCTCAGGCCCTGCCCCAGAACAAGTGCAGGACCTGCCACACCTCTGAGGTGAAGGAAATAAATAGAGCCCGATCGCATCTCACTCAGAGCAGCACATAACTGAAAAACAAATCCTCACTTAATGCGGCCCCAAACAGGCTCCCACATGCCATATGGTTTGCTTTCCTTGCTCAAAACAAATATTGTTCAGAGATGTAATTAGAATTCTTTTCATCTCCTCTGGAGAGACTGTTGTTCCTCCGTACAGACGGCCCCGGTGTGCGGGGCACCGGCAAACGCTGCTGCCACCATCGGTGCAGCAGCTTCTCCGTGGCACAGCATGGGCACAGGGCAGCCTGCCCCTGCACACCCCGGGCACTGCTTTGGCTTCCAAGGGTGCCCTGTGCTCCTGTCCTCACTCAGCCCCTCGCGCTGCCGGCGCTGCCGGCTCACAGCCACAGTGCAGCTCCCATCGGAGCCACCGGAGCCCTCTGGGACACACAGCCTGTCGGGAGCAGCACTCTCTCCAGCCCTGATCCCTCTGAAAACCAATTATTACCAGCCCAGACAAAAAGTTAATACTGCTAATATCTCCCTGTCCCTCTGGACGCATGGAAATCCCATCCACTTATCGCTTTCCTTTAATCCATCTCAGCAGGGAACAGAGGAAAATACCCAACGCTGGGGTTTACCAAGGCAGGGTCCTGGTGGGGTTCCCAGTGCTGTTCCCACATTGTGTTCACCCAGAGCCTGGTGCCAGCAGCCACATGGATTCTGTGGCGGGCAGGGAGGGAACCCCAGGCAAGGGAACAGCTCTGGTGAGTGAGGGATGTGGGAGGAGCAGCGGGGCACAAAGGGTTTCTCCATGCCACAGTGGTGCTGAGGCTGTTGTGTCCAGTCATTACCCAGCACTCACCCCCCCATTCCCTGGCTGCAGCCAGGATCAGGCTCTTGCCCCCCAGAATTCCTGCTGGCAGGAGCAATGGCCAGAGCCAGCGGGTCCCAGCAGAGCCTGCACCAGCCCCCAGCCACCACAGCTCCAGCAGTGCAGAGGTGGGGCAATGGCCTGAGGGCTCCAGCCAGGTCCAAATTACTGTGAACACAATTAAAATCTGCTCCCACAGATGGGAATTTGGCAGATAAGCTGAGAAAAGGCTGGATTGAATCAAGCGCCTTCTTTCTTTCCGATTTTAATTGGGAAGCGTATGTACTAATTAACCCCAGAGCTCAGCCACCTCCAAGCACATCCAGAGGAGCATAGATCCTGCAGATGGATACCCAGGGTCATCACCTTTTGCTGGGGACACATTTTTCAGACATGTCCTGAAGGCACCATGTGCCTCCCCGATGGGTGCCGAGGACACCAGCCCCGCCTGGGCAGAGGTGACTCAGTGCCCCCCAGCCCTGCCCCTCACAGGGACACCAGTGGGGATCTGGGTCCCCCCAGGCTGGGCATCACCCTGCACTGGCTTGGCCAAGCTGCCTGGACACTGCTCCTGTGAACACTGAACAAGTCACCAATTCTGGCCACTGCCCTGTCCCCCCAGCGTCCCAGTCCCTGTCCCCCCAGCCCCATCCCTCTCCCCCCACTGACACTGGAGCCACATCCCCACAGCAGGAGGGAGGGGGCCGCTGCTCCCTGTGCTTTATGGCCTGCTACCTGTCATAAACTGAGAACACCAGGATCAATAAATCTTCCAGGAAATAAAAATCAGGGGAAATAAAATGAACTCAATGGGGAAACACAGATAAACAGAATTGAAAACGCCTGCTGGGACAGCTTGGTGCTCTCATAAAGCAGAGCCAGACCTGTGGTGGGCACATCCCTCACCTTGGTCACGCTCTGCATGGGGAGGGGGCTCCAGCAGCGGGGATGGGGCTGTGCTGGAGCAAGAGCAGGTCATGCATTGCCCGAGTGCCTGGAAATTCCCCCAGATCCCTGCTCCATCCCCCCGTGCAGCCCCAGGAGCCCCTGCAGGACTCTGCCTGCTGCCTGCCATTCCTTGGCTGTGCCATCTTCCACGGCCCCCACCACAGCCCCCACCAAGGACAGCACCAGAGCAGCGTCACGGGCACCAACTCAGGCTAATTGTTTTGTAAAAATGTATCAAGGGACAATGAAATATGCATTGGACATTTGCAAATGCCTGTTAATCACCCGGTCAGCGCCGGTTCCTGTGCCGGGAGGGATTTTTTTTCCCTAAGCCGGGAGTCAGAAGCCTCTTTCTCTGCCCGAGGGGGCTGGAGCCCCTCACCGGAGCTGCAGCTGGGCTGGTGGGGTGACAGCCAAGCAGGCGGTGGGGCTGGGGCTGGCTCCGTCCCACGCTGGGCAGGGACAGGGACTGGGGGAGCTGAAATGTCCCTCTGCTCCTGCTCCGGCCGCTGGAGTGTCCATCCAGCCCCTGCCCTGCGTCCCTGCTGTGGGGCCGGCTCTGACCTGCTGGGTTTGTGCTGCAGCGCTGCGGGATAAGCAAATGAGTCCAACAGAACCCACTGACACTCTCCCCGGCCACCCACAGCCCCTCTGCACCATCCGTGACCTCCCCAGCACCCTCCCCTTGCCCGGAGCCCACGGCTGCCGTGGCTGGTGGGCAGCGGCAGCTCCGGCTCCAGGGGTACCCTGTCCTGCCGGCAGCAAAGGCACCCGGCACACGGACAGGGCAGAGACCCGGAGACACATGGACCCTCCTGGGAGGGTCTTGGCACAGCCTGCCTGGGAAAAAGCCATCCTGGGGGATCGGGAGGCACCCTCCGGATGGATCCAGAAGAGAGCTGGGCACTACGGCGGTGCCTGTGTGACCGATACCCCACCGAGGGGGTATCGGTCCCCTTCCCAGCGGCACGAACAGCTGTGGATGTGTCTCCTCCTGACAAGCCTGCGAGCCGGGCTGCTGGCCCCGGGGCACCGGGAACACACCGCGGGGCGGGCGGGCAGCGGCTCCGGCCCCGGCGGGGAGCGCTGCTCCGCTCCGGCCATCTCCCTTCCCACGAGGCTCCCACCACACGCCATTGCCCTGCCCCTCTTTACTGTCATATGAGCAGCAGAAGGAGCTCAGATTTTCAGTATGTGAATTAAAAACAGAAATACCCACCTAACTCGGTGATTGTGATCAGGCCAGCGCTTGCCTCACCAGAGAGATGGAATTAACCTTGAAAACTGCAGATGTTTCCAACAGTGCCCCTTCGTGTTGGGCTGCCCCGGCTCCTGCCCCAGTGCTTCCCACTCCCCTAATGTTTAACCCCTTCAGCAAGAGCAAGGTCAGTGGTGAGTGTCTCCAGTCTGGCCCCGGCTACACCAAGCTTTGCCCATGCAAGGGGACTTGCTGCTCCCATCTGGCTCCTGGGGACTCACAGTTCTCAGAAAATTCCCTCCCAAGAGGCTCAAGGAAGAGCTGCTATTTGATAGTATAAGTAGCAAAGCCCTAAAACGGCCTTTTTCTGACAGCTCCCTGTGGAGCTCCAACAGTGTGTGCAGCCAGCCTGGAGCCACCCCTCGCTCTGGTGCTGCTCTCTGCCAGGGGATGGCTCCCAGCAGCCAGGGGAGGATTCTCACCTGGAATCATTCAGTAGGAATGGGAGGGGGCAGACAGGATCAGTCCCCCCGGTCTCACACTCAGCACCCAAAACCCGAGCCACTGGCACTGGCAGCTGCTGCCAAGAGCTGCCCACACCACACACCGGTGCTGGTACCATCCCCCAGAGCTGGCAGTGCCTGGTGCTCACGGGCACGGCACATTCCTGCCCGGCTCTGCCCACCCCATCACTGCTGAGCTCATCCCAACCCAGCTTCACACGGAGCACACGATACAAGTCATTAATGTACCCGTCACAACCGAGCCCAGCCAACATCCCCGGTGCTCAACCGGGCACCCACCGCAGGTGGAGCCGTAGGGAGGGGACAGCCAGGCAGGAACGGGCCCTGCAGGAGGGGAAACAGCCACGGAACAGAGGAGCTCGGAGAGAGCCAGAGCTGTCAAGGACAGGGCCAGGAAGGGCTGTCTGTCCCAAGATGCACAAATCCCACTCACGCCATGAACCAAAACCCCAGAGGAGCCGTGAAGGGGAGAGGGCCCAGCAGGTGCCCACCTGGGCATCCAACTGTTCCCCGGAGCAGCCCCTTAGGAAGAGGCAGCAGTGCAGAGCCTCCAGCTCCCTGGCCCACCGCAGGTCCTCACTCCAGCCCTGCCGTGCTGCCCACAGCTCCCAGACCGCTGGTTGATTCCTGCCTCGCTCGCAGGGAACGTTATGATTAAAATTAGCTGTCACTGTCCTAACGTAATAATTCCCAGTGTCTGGCCCGTCGTCTGTCAGCCGCTTCAAGGGAAGAGAAAGCCCAGACGTTTGATGAGGAGAGGTGTCAGATGTAATTGCGTTGAATGACTGCACGAACAGCAGCAGGAAAAACACATCGCGTGGAGAATTCCCACCAGGAAGTGTGCAAAAATCCGGCAGAATGCAAAGTGTTTATGAAAGTAATTGATAGAATAATCACTGGGGTGTGCGGGAACGGAGCAGGGCAGCGCCCTGGGGAGCCGGGGCACCGCTCCCTCCAGCCTCCAGCCGCGGCTCCGCTGAGGCGAGGCGATATCGCCTGTGCACGATGCCGGGAAGAAGCCGGGCAGCTCCCTCCTCCTCCTCACGGCACGGCTCCCCTGCCCCGCTCCAGGGCCAGCAGCTGGGAAAGCGGCTGGAGCTTCCCAGCCAGCGCATGAGAAAGCCGATGGCAGCAGCCCAGCGTGCACAGGCTGCAATGGGGGGCATGAATAATTGAAGGAGCCAGCCTGAGGAGAGGAGAGAAGGGGGAGAGGCAGCAGCACTGTGGGTAGGGAAGGGATGGTGGGAAAAATCCTGCGGCTCAGATGCTCTCACGGGGCAGTTGGAGCCCATCCTGGCTTCATCCTTGCCAAAGGCAGAACCTTTGCTGTGGCGGCAGGTAAAGGACTTTCTTTGATTGTGACTTTTCCCTCCCCACAGCCGTGGCTGCCCAGCTGCGAGCAGAACCGCGCTGCCCGCTGTGGGGTGGCAGGATGGGGAGGTGCCCGTGCCCCAGGGGTCGCAGATGCCTGCGGGGCATACACTGCTCCCGGTCCATTCCCTGGCTGCATCCGGCGCGGACAAGTTGAAAGGAAGAATGAACGCGCTCTGGGGCTGTGGCAGAGCCTTGCGATGCCGTGGAGGCTCCTGCAGGCCTCCAGCACCGGGCAGAGATGGCAGCGAGCTCTGGGCGCTGCCTGCTGCGGGCACAGCCTGGCAGGACCTGCCCCTGCCCGCCAGCCACAGCCGAACCCATCCCGCTGGCCACAGCCCCTCTCCCGCTCCGCGTCTCCAAGCTGCTGGACTCGTGGTGTGCAAGGAAAGCTGCACCAGCCAGTAATGAAATGATCAGTCTCCGATCTGCTAAACAGCGATTTATACAGGTTTTCAGCACACACAGCTTTTATCAAATTGGTATTCACCTACTGAACACAAATGGCTTATTATACATGACCCACTTATTCACTGCTTTTCAGTATCGTTAATAAAGGTTTCTGTTGTGATTAAGTGAGTTGCTGCAGAACTGCTCGAGTAGCAAGCTGTAATGTGGCTCCAAAGTGCACTCGCCCTCCCAGAATATTTCATCTCCCTGGCTCCCTGTTCCCACACAGCGACCATTTCACTATTTATTTGCCTATTGCTGAATTTTTGTGGGGAGCAGCAGTGGCTAATGGAGGCTCTTCACCCACCTTTCCATCTGGCATGCCAGCCTGGCAGGTCTGGAAACTCTCCTGCTGTGAACCCCCAATGCAGAGGCTGACCATAGGTGCCTGCCAGCCCAGCACTGCTGCGGGACACCACAAACTGCGGGACACCTCATACCTGCCACCCCGGCATAGCCCGAGATGTCGTGTGCCTGGAGGCTCTGGGGCAGGAGTGGGTCCCTCCGCACACGGGAGGCCCCGGAGCTGGGTGGGGGAAGAGCTGGGACCCGGCACCCAGCGTGTCCCCGTGGTCACTCCTCGGGCTGAGATTGAATGTGCCCGTGTCGCTCCACAGAGGGCGAGGAGGGTCTCAGCAGCCGCCTCCGAGGGGGCTTGGTGCCCTGTCACCTTCTCGGTACCCACGAGGGAGCTGCCCCCACGCCAGGTTCCTCACCGGAGGGTGCGGGAGGCAGGAAGAGGTTCCCCTTCCCAACGCCGGTGGATCCCAGCGGGCTCGGCAGCACGGACCCGCCGAACCACCGTGCACCGGAGAGAGCGGAGGAGCGGGAGCGGCGGGGAGCGCCGCTGCCGGGCGTGGGGCATCGCACGGCGGGGCGGGCGGCGGCACCGGGAGGCACACCGAGATGTTCACGGACGCGGGGTGCGGGTGGTGGCGGCGACACCGTGAGACACACGGAGACGGGGTGCTGACGGCGGCGGGCACCGGGAGGCGCACCGGGAGGTTCACGGACGCGGGGTGCGGGTGGCTGCAGGCACCGGGACGCACCGTGCAGAGCCCCCGACTCGGCAGCCCGGCGGCGAAGGCAGAGCCGCCCCCCGGGCTCCGGAGACGGGAGCGGCGAAGCCCAACCCCAGCTCGCCCCGGCTGCCCCCCGCTCCTCGAGCCGCCGGCGCGACGGACCGCGACACGGGGCTGCCCTCGGCGGCGGAGCCCGACCGGGATCCCCGATCCCCCGCGCCCGTCCCGCCGCCCGGGCAGGAGCCGCCCCGACCCGCGGGGCACCGAGCCCCGGGAGCTCCCGCCGCTCAGCCGCCCCCTTCCCGAGCCCCGGCCGCCGTCGCCGCCTCACCGCTGCTGCCCGCCGCCGGGGCGTCCCACGGGGGGTGCCGGGAGGCGGCGCCGAGCTGCAGGTAGAGCCCCAGGTAGTGGAAAATCCCCAGGGCCAGGGCCAGGGCGCCCATCTTGCCGCGGGCGCGTCCGTCCCGGGGGCGGCGGCGCCGCCGGGCCGAGCCCTGTCCCCGGGGCTGCGCCGCGGTCCCGGCGCCGCCGCGCTGCGGAGCTCTTCCCTCGCGCGGAGGGCGCCGCGCGCCGAGGCGGTGCCGCGGCTCGCCCGGAGCCTCCCCCGCCCGGCGGAGGGATCCGGCCCGCGCGCACCCCCCAAGTTTTTCTCCCACGGTTCATCCTCAAACTGCGCGGGGCGGGGCCGGGCACCGATACACCCCGATACCGCCCCGCCGGGACCCCCCCGTATCGCCCCGCACCGCCGGGACCCCCGATACCGCCCCACCCGGACCTCTCCTCCGCCCTGCCGGGACCTACCGGCACCGCCGCGCCCACTCGGGACCCCTCAGCACCCCCGTCCCGCCTGGACTCCCACGCCTCGCTGGGACCCTCCGCACCGCACGGCCGGAGCCCCGCGGCGCGCACAGGTCCCGCACCGGGAAAGGTTTCTCCGTGGCGGCCCCGGTCCCCGGTCCCCGCGGGGCGAGACCCCGGGCACCGCCGGTCCCGGCGGGGGAGTTTCAGCACCCGGGACAGCGCCCGGCGCGGAACGCGGCTCTGCCCGACCAGCCCGGCACGGCACGGCACGGCCCGGCTCGATCTGGTACGGCCCGGTACCGCCCAGCCCAGTTCGATCCAGTTCATCCCAGCACGGCCCCAGCGTCTGCAGATGCGGTGCCGGAGGGGCAGTGCCCGGCGGGTGCGGTGCCCGGTGCTCCGGCTTCACCCCAAGTGCCAGGCTGGGGGCACTTCGGGCAGTTTTTGGGGAAGAACAAGGACACGCGTCCGTCCCCACGTGTACCCTGATCGCTGTCCCAGACTGTGCAAGACTTATCTCAAAACAAAAATCCTGCAGCTGGGGTGGGTTGGAAGCTCACACACACGCTCAGAGCCCGGCTGGAGTGTGGCTGGTGGCACCAGAGAGAGGTGGGACGGCCACCCTGCTCCTGACACGAGCGGGATTTCATGGAACCGCTAGGATCCCAATGTCCCTTTGGGTGCATAAATCCTGAGGCCAAATCCACCGACAGCACCAACACTTCCAGAGCTGTGCATCACAGCAGGTCACAACCACAGCACCAGCACCTGTGCAATTCATACACCTCTTCTGAAAAGCCTAAAATTCACCAAGGGGCCCAGCGGTGCCGTGTCACTGTCCTAAACACTGGCCTCAGCACCAGGGGAGGCACAGAGCAGGCATCACTCACACAAGAGTATCTGTATGCAACAGAGCAATCAAAAGGATATTACTTGCTCTCTAGATAAACAGAAGAAAAAATCAGATTATTTCAGGTGTTTTCTGCCATGAGATGACAGATGTTGGCTGCAAAGAGATTCTTTAAATTGGAATTGAAAATACTGACTGTATTTCCTCAGCTTTCTCTTGGCAGGGATCCAGAAAGAGTGGGGGGTATTCTTCCCATTCCCCTCCAGCAAGGCAGGTCCCTGGCCAGGAGCTGTGCTGCCTCTTACCTGCGTTACTAATCAATAATTTAAAAAAAAAAAAAGTTGTTCCTGCTACAGCATTTGCTGCATGTCAGAATAAAGCCTGGCTCAGAGCAGAGCATTGATCTCTGCCCAAGTTCATTACTCCCTCTGGAGTTAAAAGCTGAGGGAAGGAGGGAGCAGCAGTGACAGGAAAATGGGCATCACAGCCATGCCCGGCTGCATTTAGAAGTTTCCATGGCTGGCTGGGATCAGAGGGTCTCACTCTGGGATGGCAACAGCAGCAGTGGCAAAGGACTTCAGGTGTCCTGAGGTGAAGCTGCCTGGAGCTGCTGAGCAAACACAGCTGGGTCAGGGAGCAGCTCTGGGCTGGATCCTGACAAAGCAAAAGCATCAGATCTCCCAGAGGCACGAAACAGAGGGATTCCTGTACTGAAGGGATGGGGTTTGTGAAGCCCTCAAATAGGGGGTTCTTGCACTGAAAGACAGAGTTCATGTACTGAAAGATGAAGTTTGTGCAACAGGAGAAGCAGCAAAGGCCAAGCACTCATGTGCTCCACATTTTGGGCAGTTGGCCCTGTCTTGTGGCTGCTGTGTGGCCCAGGGACCATCCTCTGCCACTGGCCTGCAAGGGAATAAAAACAAGCCCACAGTGAAGTGGCAGCTACAATCTGTGCTCCCCCAGACTTGGCATCCCACTTTGCAAAGAACCCACCCACAGGTGTAGCCAGAGCAAGAGCTGGAGATGTCACCCAGGGGTGACTGCACATTGCAGGCATGGGCAGGGATTCCTGGCTCCAGCCCAGCTCCTGCACCCTGGCACAAGGGCAGCACATCCCCTGCTGAAGGCCGAGGCCATGCAGCTCTCCAGGGCTGAAACCCGCCTGTGCACCATCCGAGATACTTAAATCATGCCAGGAGGAAGCAAAGAGCATAAATTCCTCCTGGAGCCAGGAACACCTCCAGAGGCAAAGCCTGAATTAAGTCCCATTTCCAGCAGATTTTGTGCCATCACAGTGGATAAAAAACTGGTACTGGGGCTCTGCAGGACCCAGCAGACAGGGAAGTGCCAGTGCCCGTGTCTGAAGCGCGCTGGGAAGCTCTGGTTCTCCTCCTCAATTTTAATGCAGCAGTGACGAGGCCTCGGGCAGGTGCTGCTGCAGGTGCAGCCATGCAGCCCCGAAGAACCCCCTGTTGTGTGACAGGGACACGGGGGGTCACTCACACACAGAGGCAGGAGCAGAGCCCGGCACCCGGGTCCCTTATCTGCCCACTCGTTATTGCTCTGAACAGCCGGCGCCTCCCTCACAGGGCTTCTCTTTCAGCAGAATGGGCTCAGGGACTCGCTCTCGAGGATGAAACACTCCTTATCTCTGTCAGTGCCAGGTTCCTGCCCACTGCTCCGTTCTGCTCAGGGGGGGCACTCGCCAGATGGAGGAAAGCAGCGGGCACTTCATGCAGTGGAACCACAAAGATCCCAGAGGCACCACATCCACCATGGTCACAGCTCGTGTGCCCGTGAGGTCTGCATGTGAATTCCCCGGGACACCTGTCCATCAGGAAAAGGCAACCTGCAAAGCTGGAGGGTGCAGTGGAGTTCAGAAGAGCTGGATGGGGTTGGAAGGGGATGGGGGTCAGCCAGATCGGCAGCACCTCATGGGACACCCAGACCCTGAGGGGCACAAAGAACATCCCTGGGGACACTAACCTGGAGTTACCCAAGGACACCCAGAATGAAAGCAAAAGAACTGGTCCTTCCTGCTGCCTCCTGAGTGCTGCTTGTGCTCATTCCAAAGCCAACACCTCATGTTCCCTTTTGACAGCAAAACCTGCCAAGCAAATAGAAGGAAAAAACCTCAAACCCCAAACCCCAGAGCTGCGGAAGCACTGGGGTCTGCCTCATGCATTATTTTGAAATTCACTTCTTCAAGGGTTCATGCAGGGGCACCCCGAGGCTCAGCACTGAGCTCTCCTGAGGTCCAGGAGCCAATGCTCGAATTTGCGTCTGCCTGGGAGAGTGAATTGGGTTGTTCATCTCTCTGACGGGCAGAATAAACACCCTCCACATTGATACTGGGCTCATTTCTGATACTTGTTTAGAGACTTGACAATTCCTGTATAAAAGGATTTCCTTCCACAGCTGAAGTTTGACATTCCTGCATTATTAGATTATTTGCAAAGGTCTGCGTGCGCTGCAGAAAAACAATGCTCCCGCCAGGCAACATTAGAGCCTGCTCCTCCACAAATCATCGCGGGCACAGCCAGCCATGCAGGCAGCCTGTCAGGATCCCCCGCTGCAGGGAGGGAGCAGCCAGGGAGGCAGCGAGTGGGAGCTCAGGTGAGCAAACACAACCCACCCACCCACAGCACGACAGCCACAACAGCATCAAAAACAACAGACTGAGCAGGAGAGGGTTTTTGGGTAGAGGGAACCTTGCTCAAGACACCAGCACCACCTCGGGATCCTTATGTCACTGCCAGCACAGTCCTTCCCAGTGGCACGACCTGGCTGGGAGAGCAGTGGGAGCATTTCTGGGCAGGGACACACGGTGTTTTTGTCCCCCTGCTGGTTTTGGGATGGTCACAGCCCTGTGTCCCTGGCCCCTCACCCTGCAAGTCCCAGAATGATGTGGGAAAAGCAGCAGGAACCGCCTCCCCCTCCCCAGCACATGGGGGCTTTGGGACAGAAAGGCCTCTACCCAGAGCAGCCCCTGCACAGGGAAGTCTCCAAAGCATAAAATTCAGAAGAAAATCACATGAAAAGAATTATTTCTTCAGAGAATTCAAGCCCATTTCCAGGCCATTAACTCCTTCCTCTGCAGAACCCACTGCCAGGTTCCTGATGGAGAGGAGCAACATCACAGGTGTCTGTCATCGTGAAACAGTTCCCTCTTTCCAAACAATTAAGCACCAAAAAAATTAAATATAAAAAAACAAACAAAAAATACCACAAACCAACCAGCCCTTCCCCCTCCAAATAACTTCCTGCCCCAAGAGAAAAGCTTTCCCTGAGAGCAAGGCCTTAAAAGAAAAAAAAATATTGAAAAAAATCAATAGTGTAAGTGACTTATTTCGCAGCCGATGGTTTGTTCCCAGTGCTGACAGCCTCTCTCTGTATTTAGCACAGCCTCAGTCCCTCCACTGGGATATCAGGAGATGTTCTTTAGCCATGATTTACACTCATTTCTCCCCATTTAGGGAGGCTCAGCTGGGAGCGCAGCTGAAGATGGATTTGGACACACAGTGAGGACGGTCCGTGCCTGTCTCCCGTGGCCAGGGGGAAATGCCAGCAGCTCCTGCCACTCCCAGCAGGAGCAAACCAGCGCTCCCATCCCCCTGACACTGCCAGCACTGGGGCTCCCACCCTGCCACCCACGGCATGGATGGTGTCACCATCCCTCTCCCTCCCCTCTCCCACACTTGCCACAGATTTCCCCAGCCCCAACCAAACCCCACTGGGGCAAGCACCTCCATGGGGCAGAGGTGCTTGATGACCCCACAGACTGAGGACAGCATCTCCCTCATCCTTTGCTGCCTTCCTGCTTTTAAATCCTGCACTGGTGCTCAGCAGCCTCGTGCAGCTGGCACCGAACCAGGATCGGAGTCCAGGCAAAGTCCAGATGTCCGGGG